TAAAATGTAAGTAGGGAACATTTAACAAAATTAATTTTAAAAATACAATAGAAGATAGATAGCATTAATATGTGGGGTTTTTTTTAACTTAATATGTTGAATACAGGGATCTTATGTAAAATTTAGTGGCCCCATTTCTATTTGTTTGACATCACTAGTCTAGAGAACTGAGAGGTTATAACTGAAATCAATTCTCTACTCACTGTATTACCATGTAAGTCATTACAGGGCAAGTCATTTTACCCTATTTGCCTCAGTTTCTGTATCTATAAAATGAGCTGAAGGAAATGGCAAACTACTCCAGTATCCTTGCAAAGAAAACCCCGGGGACAGTAGGGTCCACAAGGTCATGAAGAGTCAAACGTGACTGAACAACAAAGCTTCGTTACCAACACATTGCCAGTACCCACACTGAAGACCACCAATCCTTAAGATCAGAGATTATCAAGTCTCTTACTCCGTAAAATCTCGAGAAACATGTTTTGTTTGCCCCTTCCTGGTATGAGGACAGGTGATAGGAGATAGTGGGGGAAGGGGCAGTTTGAAAAATCCCATCCTGCTGAGTCAATAAACTCTCCAGCCTTCCTGTGTGCCATTTGACAGCTGGCCGGCCAGGAAGGGAAGTGGTACACTGTGTGTCCTGTTTGCAGCTGATTGCCTGTTGAGTCTTATCAATGTGTTGCACCTAGAGAATTTTGCTTGTCTGTGCTGACTTCAAGATGTGACCAATGAAAGTGTGTTGTGGTGGGTTGGATTTAGCAGGCAGAAGATAGTGAATTGTGGGGGCAGCTAGGTGGCGCAGTGGATAGAACACCAGCCCTGAAGTCAGGAGGATCTGAGTTCAAATCCGACCTCAGACCAAACACTTGACACTTACTAGCTGTGTGACCCTGGGCAAGTCACTTAACCCCAACTGCCTAAGTTAAAAAAAAAAAAAGATAGTGAATTGTGGTGTTAGGCCCTATGGGGGGGGAGGGGAAGATGTGTATTGTTCTAATGGATGGGCTTTCTGTGAGTTCCATGGTATTTATCAGTACTTTAAAGCTTAGAAAGCACTTTCCATATGTTCTCTCATTTGGTCTTAACAGCAACAGTCCTGTGAGGTTGCTAATATGTCCCTTCTACAGATGGGGAAGCAGAGTCAGATAAAAGTTAAGTTATCTATTACAGCTAGTAAAAGTATCTGAGGCAGGATTGGAACTCAGACTTTCCTGACTCCAAGTTCAGCACCCATACCACCTAACTGCCTCTTATAAATAGTATTGTTAACCATTTATTTATTGAGGCAATCAGGGTTAAGTGACTTGCCCAGGGTCACACAACTAGTAAGTATCTGTGGTTGAATTTTAACTCAAGTGCTCCTGACTAGTGCTCTATCCACTTCAACACCTAGCTGCCCTGAGTATATTAACTATAAAAGCTGGAAGGAGTCTTAGAAACTAGCTAGATCTAAGCCTTTGATTTTATAGATGGGGAAACTGAGACCCCTGAGATGAGGAAAGGTGATATCCAAAGTCACACAGTGAGTTGGTAGCAGAATTGGAAATAACATCTAGGGTTCCTACTTTTCCCAGTCTAATGTTCTTTCCACTACATCCTGCTTCCCCTGCTGGCCTGTGTTATTAATGCTGGGAGGTGTTATTAATGGGATGCCCCCATTGTAAATTGTCTATGTACAAGGGCTTCCCCTTCTTTTCCTAGCCAGAGAAAGGATACACTACTCCTTTAAAAGGAAAAAAAAGGGGGGGGGAAAGGAGCCAGGATCTGGAGGGAGAAGGAAAACCAAAGTGCCACCTGGGGAAGAGAATCTTTGCCAGTGAGTAGAGACAGCCCCTTCATGATTGAAGGTTCATGAAGAACCTTCTCTGCCTCGCCCATCACACCCATGGTATCCACCTGCGTTCTGTGCTCTTGGCTCAATCTTTTGGCAAGAAGGAGAAAGTAAGGCACAGAATCCCAGGAAGATGCCAAGGGTGCCCGTGACTATGGTCTTGGCATATTGAGAGCCTTCAAACCAGGGATATGCTGGTAAATGTTTAACAAATGGCTCACCAAAAAAAAAAAAAGACACAATCTGCATGTAATTTGAATTATTCACATTTTCTCCATCACTTTCTTGTCTAGACAATCAACAAAATAGTAAGTCAAACCCCGATTTATAGGATTTGTCAATTGATACTGTGTAAATGTTTACACTAAAAATTTAACAATGGACTCTCAGAGGAGGTAGGAGCTGGCTCCAGCACACCTCTACCTCCACCCCTCTTTATACCCCACTGTCCCCATGTCCAGATGAAACCTTGCAATCTTAGCCCTATACAGCATTGGGCTCAGTTTTGGTTTGGGATGAGTTCTGGGATTCAGGGAAAGGTATGTGTGTTCAAAGCTCTTGAAACAAATGTAATCTGGCTCACTTTGAATAAGCAAAAGATGTCATACAGCAAGCACATTTCGGGGTGAGGGGGGGAAAGAATATAAAGGAGTGAACAATGATGAGGTGTCTGAACTCTGAGAGTAAAACCTCTATAGATCTTCTAGACTTAATAGACTTTCCACAGATACATTCATTCTACAAGCATTTATTGAATTCCTATTATGTGCTAGGCAGGGGCAGCTAGGTGGTTCATTGGATAGATAGAGTGCTGGGCTCAAAATCAGGAAGACTCATGTTCATGAATTCAAATCTGGCTTCAGACATTTACAGGCTGTGTGACCCTGGGCAAGTCACTTAACCCTGTTTGCCTCAGTTTCCTCATCTATAAAATGAGTAGGAGAAGGAAATGGTACACCACTTCAAATCCTAGCCTCAGACTAGCTGTGTGACCCTGGATAGGTCACTTAATCCTTGTTTGCCTCAGTTCTCTCAAGGTGTTGGAAATACAAAACAAAACAAAAATGATCTCTGCCCTCAAAGAATTTACATTAGATCCCTACTGACATACTTAAGATTTTCACAATTCCCCACCTATATATTTTCATAGCATCCTTCCTCTGGAGGTCCTTGTGCACTAAGAGATATCCTTCTTTAATGGGAAAAGAGCTAAATTTGAAGTCAAAAGATAGGATTTCAAGCCTTGTCTCTGTCATTTAGTAGCCCTAGACCTCGGATAAACCAATTCACCAGCCACTTCAGCTCTCATTCTTTTCATCTGTAAAATGGGGAGAATCTTTAAGAATTCTGTAGGCTTGCTGTGTAAATGAGAGCCATTATTATTCTATTGGACTCCCCTATGTCTTCATGATCCCTCAGAGATTCATATGTAGACCTTCAATTCTTCTTTATATGCTTACCTTCATTGGGATAAGAACTGGACCTATGATTTTATTGGCATAGAGAACTCCTGAGTGAGGGAACTCCTCCTACCAAACTCTTAAAGAGTTGCCTATGGGGATGAGAGATTAAGTGATTTGTCCCGGGTTACACAGCCGGTGTGACCTAAGTGTATGACTTGAACCCAGCCTTCTATCCGTTATGACACATATTTAACAGGTCCATAAACCCCTTCTCTATGGGGAGATGATGTAGTGGGGGGAAAATACTGGATCCGGGCTCTCATAAGGAAAAAGAACTGAATTATCTTAAGCTCCCGAAGTCTTAAATTTGCCCTTCTGTAAAATGAAAGGGGCTGGATTACGTGGTCCTTAAATTCCTTTACAATCCTAGATTTAGATATTCCTACAAACCCCATAATCCCACCACCATCCCCTTGCAAACAGAGTTGAGACTAGGGATAGGCGAGTTAGGTAGTCACAATGGGAGTGGGGTGGGGAGAGAAAACACGAGGGACCTTTTGGAAGATGAGTTTTTATAGACGCACTTGTTTTTTAATGGCAGAAAATTCTGTCTCTGGTCCTCGGGTATTTATTTTGTGATTCCCCGAAGTCCCCTGCGTACCAGTGAACACCCAGGGGAGCGCTATTTTTAAACTTTGCTGGGGGCGAACAAACCCCATTTTCCTCGACTCAGACCCTTCCCAGCAGAGTTCCATAATTCCACAGACCTTTTTATACTCTCGCATAGGTCCCTATAGACTTTATCAAGGACTAGAAGAACCTTTGATCCCAAAGGAAGACATCAGCAACGCCACCCACCCTTTCTCGGGAGCTCCCCTCTGCTAAAATGTTGCATGACAGCCCCCAGCCCACCCCAGAATCTGCGCTGCCCAGAGCCTAGGGCCGGGGATCACCAGCGCCTGAGCCCCATACTCCTCCCCCTCCTCCGCTGCCCCAGTCGACTCCTCCTCTGACTCTCTCCCTCCCTCCTTCCTTCCCTCCCTCCCTCTCTTTGTCTCTCCCGCGCCCGCCCTCCTTGCCCCCACCCCCACCCCCTGCATCGCCACCTCCCCTTGGGGACCCCGGAGGGCTACGCTGACGCGACGATTCCACGATCTATTAGCTGGGCAGGGGAGACTGGGGCAGCTGGGTTGGGGGGG